AGGTTGGAGGCCTAGTAGGAGTAGGAGGCCATCGCTAGTAGGTTGGAGGCCATCGCTCTCAGGTTGGAGGCCATCGCTGGTTTCAGTTTTTGAGGTCGGTATCCCCAATCTGCCACCCCTGGCTGGTGTTGACCGCGTTGCGGGGTTGCTGCCTTGGTCTGACCGATCAACAGTGGTTGCCAGTTAGAAGTTCAAGACCTGAGGTGGCTGGTGACTCTGAATGGCATGCGAGTTAGTGGCTCATCACGTGTGCTTTTCGAGTCTCACTTTTTGCCCCTGAACAACATAGAAAAAATGGGTCTTTCGTCGGGTCGCGATGTTGATTGAGGCCTCTGACCACATCTCCGAGGACCAAAGTCGGCAGTTGGCCCTTGATGTCGAGCAGGCAGCCTCCTCCAGCTTTGAACTCCATCAGACCACCCAAAACAACTGGGATCAACTGGGACTCTAAGTTGACTTGACCGACCCATGTGTTTCAACGTGTTTCACTCAAGCAGGTTCATATGTGTCAGGAGTCTCTTTCTCATAAACCATTCACATTGTGTCCATCATAAGGAAAACCCCTGGCCTCCTGAAGAGGCCTACACCTCGCTGAAGAACTGGCTTCATGAAAAGACCTGAGAGCTGCTCAAGAGCCCTTGCTGATCATTGTTTCACCGGCTACACTGGGAGTACACTAGAAGTAGAGAAAACGGGATGGAGCAGTGCTACCTGGAGGGTGGTATGAGACAGATCCACCTAATAGCGTCCTTGCTACTAGTAGCTTCTTGTTACTACAGGTGAAACGATTCCCAGTGAAACGTTTCCCAAGGAAGCTTCTAGCTACTAGTAGCTTCTTGTTCGTAGTGTACTTATGAGACTCATGCTCATGCCTTTGTGCAGCAAACTTACCTTCTACGCAGAATGCTTGACAAGCAAAAATCAGAGACTGGCTCTTGGTTTGTGGTTGATGTGAGCCCTAGGTTGAGAACCTCCCCGGTGGTTTGATAAGGGGGCACCTTCTTAACAGAGATCATTACTATCCGAACTATCCAGGGTCTAGGGCTCTCAAGGTTCCCCATTACTGAGCCACCAGGGGGGTAATTCATCCGGGGGTCAACATTCGTGTTGATGTCACTCCAGGACTAGGGTTGATGGAGGGACTCTTCTTGAGCTGGGGGCCCCCCGTCGACTGCGCCACAGGGTCTGCAGTGGCAATTCGATTCGAAAAAGCCTGTGCGTCGTATGAGGGTTCTGCACGTTTACTACTGAGAGTGTGCCACTGTGTAAAGGACAACTGTCTTGCTTTTTGTATGCATTTCTGCAGGCTCAAGCGGCCAAGTCCTTCAGCTGGCTCAACATCCCAACAAGAGAGCAAGCTTGTGTAAGCCACAAGTCAGACACGTGCACCACAAAAGAGCAGAGTTCAATGCATCCACCAGGACGCAATCAAATTGTTGAGTGGGTCAAAAACTGTCCCACCAGAAATCACTGTGCAGCAACCCGTCTGCTGCTTACAACGTTAACCAAAAGGGGATCGAGCCAGCGATTCGGCTCGCTCGATAGACTTGAGGCTCGTCAAGCGATTCGGGCTCAAGATGGGAAAGCCACAAACTCAGGAGATCAAAGTCCAATCGAAGCGAAAGCGGGTCATTTTGCGCTTGTCAAATCTCTGAGGAAAAAAAAGGTGGAAAAGAGCCTCGTCTGAGAACACGCATTTGTTTGCGCATGTTTCTTTTTAGCTTACATGCAGGATGATCAAAACCATCGAATTGGGTGAGTGATACACCAGACCTACTGTTTAGTCACTATATACGATTCCCATTTCCTTCTGGCACCATTATTTTTGACACTCCCTTATACAGACTGTATGACTCTGTATGTCTTAATAGTCTATTTGAGGGAGATAGATCAGTAGCATCAGAGTGTTGATTTCATGCAGTCTCATTGGGCAGATTGCAGGTCGACTTCGTTTTCGACTATGACCATCAATTTCGAAGAGCTAGCAGAAAACGAGGAGTGGCAGGCCGGAAAAAACATACATTGGCTTGGCCTTCTGTCATACATCCCGGGTCCCATGCATCCTTGTCTATCTGGATACACTTGGCAGTCGATGAATCAGCTCCTGCAGAAGATGACTGACAGCCGTGTTGCCTTTGAAGAACAACAGAAAGAGGCCTGCATCTCATTTCTGCCCACTGCGTTTGTTCTTCAAGCCATCGGGTGGGATAGATAGGCTGTCGCCTGAAAATGCCCAGACTCCACTGACATCTGTCCATGTTGTATCCAAGCATTCTTCTCCATATCCATCACCCATTTCTTCGATTGCACAATTCAGGAAAAGGCGGCCCAGAAAGCAGCTCGGAAGGCTCGGCAGAAGGCCCGGCTGGCCAAGAAACCAGGCGGCATCGTCGCAACGTCCGGTGTTCGACTGGCAACGTGGACTGGTATTTTTGACTTGTTTACTTCACTGTCATGCGCTACTAGTAACAAGGGCATTACTACTAGTAACAAGGGCATCGCTACTAGTAGCTAGTAGCAACAAGGACATTAGAATAACACTTCACTTTCATGCGGCTGCATGCGGCTGCTCGTTGACAGGTGGTGTTCCCCTTTCAGGTCCCTTTCGGAGACCCTGTGGTGTGCCTCAGGAGGCCAGTTGGAACTTGTGAAAGACTAACTCGAGCCTGCAGAAGTAAACACTGTAAAAAATCTTTGGTCAATAGTCTTCGTGATTCAGGCGGTATTCCTCAAGTGACTCAAGTGTATATTGTTTAGTTTAGGCCCGGCAAACATTTCCTGATGTTGTCTTTCAGATACTTCTTCAGCCTATCCTATGATCTCTCTCGCATTTGAATGAAGCCATTTGCTCTCCATTGCTTTGGTGCTTGCCAGTGGACTTTCTCGGTCTTTGCGTTTTATTGTTGTGCTCCATGCTGATCTATGCGCTTTCTATTCCCAGCTTGGAGCCTTCAAGAGATTGCCCGTGCAGTGCGCCGAAGAATTCACCGTAAACCAGTGCCGAAGATTGCCCGATGAATGCTTGAGGTACTTGGAACCAAAGGATGCTGCCATGATGGATCGCCCAGATCGGTGCAGATGGTGCTCACCTTGAACCCGATTTTGACAGATAGTGCTTTGGGTGATCTTTCTCTTGCAGGTATAGCAAGGAGAATCATCCTGCCTTCATGATTCCTGGGCAAGTGCTCCTTTGAGCCAGTGGAAGTCATTGGACCCACTAGCTTGTTGTCGCACTGAAAATGAGCATGTTTTCTGCCGCTCCGCTCCACATCCAGCATTCTCTCAAGGTCGAGACTCACTTTTTAATCACCGATCACTCGGAAAGAAACGAGCTAGTTCGCCTCTTGCATTCGAAACAACCTCGATGAGCTTGTTTTGTTGGCGACTGCTTATTGTTCCTGTTCGAACAGAGGTCTTCTAAAGACTGGAAGATAGAACTCCCAACATTCAAGACAGAGAGGCAACACCTCACAAGCATCATCATGAGCTTCATGGACAATTAAAGCAATGCCTGATGTGCAAAAAACATTTGTTGACCATTATGCCGGTTGCCAAGCTGATTGTTGGAGGTCGTCGCTATTAGATTGTAGTGGCAGTGCAGCAACGGTCTTCCAAGGCAGTGCTGGGGTGTTCCCCCAGCAATACTCCTGAGGAGCTGAAGAAGGCACGCTTGATCACAGTCGAGCCACGTTTCATTAGCAAGCGGCAGACGCTTACACCATTCTTTGTGATATCATGTTTTTTCCTTCAATGATACTTGGATCATCTTGGATCTACTGTAGTGAGTGCAGTGGCATGTAAAGACTTTGCTCATCAGCTATAGTGGATATCTTTCACTGCCAGGCATACCATGAGAAGCTCAGACAGCTTGGAGCACCAGCGCCTTCTGCCCAAACGTCGAGTCTGAGGGGCGGTCACTGAGGTTCCATCCTGACAAGCGGCCATGGAGTGCTGGTGGCTATGGTGAGAAGGAGAGGACTTGCTTGGACGTACTGTTGTAATATGTAAAGTAGCTTCTTGTTACTACTAGTAATGCCCTTGTTACTAGTAGCTTCTTGTTACGTTGAATAACATATATATATATATAGCGAACATTGCTCCTAGTAGCGATGCCAGGAGCCCCTAGTAGCTTCTTGTTCCTACAATATATATATATACACACGTAATGTAATATTGATTATATAATGGTGTTTCCGTTTTGGCTCTCGACATCAACGAAACGACAGAAGTCATCTTGATTCGTCAAGAGGTCACCCAATCTCTGAACGAGGCAAGACGGAGTGGGACCGAGTAGGACTGAGTACAAGTAGGCCTGCAAGAAGCTACTAGGGGCTCCTGGCATGGCCACTAGGAGCAAAGACGCTACTAGTAACAAGGCTTGCTTAGGTTTGGAACTCTTGGAACTCTCCGCAAGATGTGGAGGCTTGGGAAGCTTTGCGTTTCCCAGCGCTCCGTGAGGCCAATTATCGATCACTGAAATTGACCATATTATTAAGACCCAGAGCACACACACACATATGTATACATATATATATATATGTGTGTGTTTTCATTTGTTTTTTCGTATATACATTATATATATATAGTGTTTTCCATATGTTTCGTATCATTTCATGCTCGGCAAGGCCTACGATGTGATTTGGCATCGAGAGCAGTCGCTTGACTTCAGACATGTGTCATTTGCAGGGGATCATGTCACAAATACCCCTTCCTTGTCTAGCTCTTTGGGGGGCCTTGCCTTGTGAAAAGACATCAAAGAGTCACAAGGCCTTGCCTTGTGCTTGTGATCAAAAGCGTTCTTTTGACTTTTCGATGTCTTTTTCAGGGCACCGCGGGCACCGCCGGCACCGCCCGCACGCGTGGCCCCTCAACCTCCAGAGCCAAAGAGAGAGCCACGTGGTCGCTCAAGGAGGCGACAGCATAGCGAGGCGGTCTTCGCCGCGGTGCAGATCGGTGCGGATCGGTAGTCGTTGGATCAGGAGACACCCGGAAGAGGTGCCAGAGACATCGACGCCTGAACACCAGGCCTGGTAACAAGTTTAACGGGGCCCTCCTGCTTTTCTTTCTTTCTTTTTTGCCTGTTCATCCATTTCTCCATTACTCCCTGTGTCGAGGCGGAGGTGTTGCGCAATGAGGGGAATGATCTCTACAGACGTGTCTCCGCCTCAGCTCCTTTTATTTGGATTGGAATGATCATCACCGACTTGACGAAGAGGCCCAAGCGGCGGTGTTTGCCGCACGCTCAGCGGAAGCTGTGAGGTGCTCAGGGAAAAACATTCAACTTTCTATGCTGAAGGATAACTTGATTCCAAAAGTATGAAGAAGAACTGAGAAGCTTAAGTCTACTGTAACCTTTTTAAAATCCGTCCCCCATTATCTACCTGAAATTTTTTAGATTACAACCTAATAGCGATGGCCTCCAACCAAATAGCGATGGCCTCCATCTAGCCTCTATTCTGTGACTCAGCTTGAGTCTGATTATTTTGAGGCCGAAAGTCTGGAGGCACGGATGACTGCGATGCAGCAGTGCGCACTCAGCTCGGATGGAGGTAGGGTTACGCCCTGGAAGAGACCCACATGGAACCTGAAAACCGCTGCGTTCTAGAGGAAAACAGTCTTCCAAAGGTCCATTTTCAGGTTCCGTGTTAATCTTCCCGGGCGTTAAATTGTAAGACCTGCGTTAAAGAAAGGAAAGCAACACTAAAAGAGACAAGTCCTAAAACCTGAGCGAAAGACCCAAGCCTTCTTGGCAGATTTCTTGCATGTGTCCCGACGTTCGTGACGTTGGCAGTTTGCTGAACGAGAGGTATCGGCTGGCGATCCGCAAGTACACTGAAGCAATCGAGCACTTTTCCCAGCTGTGTGTGTTTTGCAATTCCAACCTACCAGCGCTGGAGCCCCCCCCTCCAACCTAATTGCGATGGCCTCCAACCTAATTGCGATGGCCTCCAACCCTCTAGCGATGGCCTCCAACCTATTAGCGATGACCTCCAACTTACTAGCGATGGCCTCCAACGGCCTCCAACCTACTAGCGATTGCCTCCAACCTAGTAGCGACTAGTAGCGATGGCCTCCAACCTACTAGCGATGGCCTCCAACCCAGGAGCAACATGCTAACTACAATGTGTGACAATCTTAAAGAGTCAACAATGAACCTGCAAGATTAAGCACTACGAGCGAGAATATGCAAGAACGCTTCGACAGCCTCACGTTTGCCTTGACAAACCTTTTGAAGTGACCAAATGTTTGTGTTCTATAAGGACCCTGGTGACTGACTCTTGTGACTTATGACTAGTGCACACCGGTTTGTAGGTGACACACCACTCTTGAATTTACAAGTCTTGCGCAGCACTGTGAGGCTTACTCCAAACAATCACCGCCTCTGGAGCAATCGGGCATTGTGCCTTTCTTTTTGCGAACCACCGACTGTGCTGGTTTCTCCAACAGAATACCTTCAATTCTAATAGCTTTTTTGTTACTACTAGTAAGGCACCTGTTACTAGTAGCGTGGCACTTTGTTACTACTAGTAAGGCACCTGGTTTTCTCCAACACCGATCCCAAGCTGACCGATCTTAGGTGCCACATGGCTCTGAAGCAATGGGACCAATGCCGGGAGGCGGTCAACCAACATTGTTGGTGCAACACATTGACGACATTATCTTCCTTGGAAGGATTTGCATTTTCATGCTTTGAACAAAGCCAAGTCCATATTGCCTTGGGCTCGTCAAGCACAGCAAGATGAGCATTTGAGCATGTGTTCATTCTTTACATCCATGGTCCATAATATATACAGTAACATTGCTGAAGAACCGTGGGGAAGGACTTTGGTTGAGTTGAGATGATAAGCAACGAAGGTGCAAACTCGTTGCCGAAGCACAGAATCAGAAGCAAATGCCAGCCATCACTCTTTGATCCTCATTCCTTATTGCTGCTTTAAGCTTAGCCTTCCTAGTGTGGAGGTGTTTGTGTAGATTGTGGACCATGGCAGATTCTGAGGTCAATTGCTTACACAAAGCGGATGGAAGACTTCCAGGCAAACCGCTTTAAGACGAGAACAGAGCATAAATTCTACTGAACCCCACCAGTTTGTCACCAATTTTCTCGACGCAGGACCGACTTTGGGCTGCTTGGCGCTTGGTGCATGGAACGCGGCTCTCGGCGGAGGCACTTCAACGTGGCCAAAGCAGCAGCAAGGCACGGGAGGCCCTTCGTGACCTGGCGAGACTTTGGTGCCCCGCATGTGGCATGTGCTCCGATCTGAAATATCCGCATCAACCAGTCAGAGGCAAATCCTCCAATCCAGAGTGTAACATGGTGAATAAGAGACCCTTGAGATCCTTTTAGACCCCAAATCTGATGACCCGAAGAGTTTCTTGTGGATTCTTTCTTGTTGACAGAAACTCCCTCACAGGCACAACATGGAATCCAAGTGGTGGTGAACTCCAAATGCCTTTTCCTCACATCAAAGATGGACCGAAAAAAGATATCCGAATGTCACCGAATGTCACCACGCCGGTCATGTACATCGCTAGTAGGTTGGAGGCCATCGCCAGTAGGTTGGAGGGCATCGCTATTAGGTTGGAGGCCATCGATATAGTAGGTTGGAGGGCATCGCTATTAGGTTGGAGGCCATCGATATAGTAGGTTGGAGGCCATCGCTATTGGGTTGGAGGCCATCGATATAGTAGGTTGGAGGCCATCGCTAGTAGGTTGGAGGCCATCGCTAATAGGTTGGAGGCCATCGCTAGTAGGTTGGAGGCCATCGCTAGTAGGTTGCAGGCTGTCGCTAGCAGGTTGGAGGCCATCGCTGTCAGGTTGGAGGCCATCGCTATTAGGTTGGAGGCCATCGCAATTAGGTTGGAGGCCATCACTATTAGGTTGTAGGCTATCGCTAGTAGGTTGGAGGCAATCGCTTCTGGGTTGGAGGCTATCGCTAGTAGGTTGGAGGCCATCGCTTCTAGGTTGGAGGCCGTCACTAGTAGGTTGGAGGCCGTCGCGAGTGGGTTGGAGGCCATCGCTATTAGGTTGCAGGCCAAAGCTATTAGGTTGGAGGGCATCGTTATTAGGTCGGAGGCTATCGCTAGTAAGTATGTTGGAGGCGCTTCTAGGTTGGACATTTTTCGGACATTTCGAACGCTAAGTGCTCAGTGGCGACTTTGCGCGGTTCCATCGTGAAGTATTCACGGCTTCTCAAAAGAAGACTTTGCATGATCAGATGATCGCATCAAGTGCTGCTATGCAGCCAGTGCTCAATCCTGAAACAAGGCGAGGATACTGGTTGGATCCTGCACAGGTTCGGTGGTCTCAAAATCAACCTGCATACTGCACAGCTCCGACGTGCGGAGAAGCCAGATCATGGCCACCTGAGTTTCAAACCATCCCGGAAGGCGAGAGGTCGCCATCGCTCGGGAATCATCATCACACATCAGCCACTCCGTGGCTGCGGTGAGGTCAAAACACTTCAAGGCAGCACGAAAATGGCCAGCATTGGGACGTCCCAGGTGGGCAAGTGCAGCGATTGGGGTGTACTCAACAAAGTCAAGTTGAGTGCCATCACCTGTGAATCGAGGGAGCCGGATCACTGAATCAAGATGCACCCGTGCCATAAGCTTCAGACCATCCCCACTGCCTGTCATATGTCGGAGGCGGTCCAAATGCACACAGACCAGGGAGGGGAGGTGAGTGTACGCCGTGATCCTGCCAGCTTCGGTATGCCAATTCTCAATCAACTGATGCAGAAATTGAACCGTATCCGGCATCACACGTAGGTGCAACATGTTGACTCCAGCAGCGGACGCATGTCTTTTTACTGCTCCAGATTCCCTGGCGTAGCGACGCTCCCAGATGTTGTGGACAGTAGACAGGTCCATTTTGGACATCAGAAACAGTGTAAATTCAACAGCGTCATGCTGCTGCACCCCATTCCAAGTGGCAAGTTGAGCATCAAAGGCCGTCAGGTCAAGGACCAAGAAAGGATTGGATCCCTGATGCAGCATGCTTTCAATGCCAGCTTGGAGCAACCCCCAGTCTTCAAAAGCAAAGTGCTGTCTGTGCATCGTGGCCCAAACCATTGCCTGCATGGACGAGTTGATGTAGCAATGGTTGGCAGGGTTTTGCAACTCCCAGAACACCACGGTGCGAGCCAGGTGCACTCGATCTGCTTCCATCATAGGCTCTGTAGCATGTCCTTGACCTTCACGGCCAATGGTGAGGCCTTCAGCGTGTGAGGCTTCATCTGGATGCCTGCAATTTGCCACAAGCTGAGATGGCAGCTCGTGGTGAGAAGGTGGTGAAGTCGATCGTTGCGTTGCCCCACCTGTAGCTTCCATGGTTGGCTCTTGGTGGACTCTTGTTTGCTCAAGGAATGGAATCGTTGGATCGCTCCCTCTTCCTTGACGAGGGTGAGCAACTCCTCTAGGAGTTCTTGTGCTGCTGCCATCGTCATAGGCGTTTTCGTCTTGGACAGCACGAGCTTCTTGTTGGCCTGATCCCATTGAGTGTACGGCCATGTCAGGTCCTCCAGCAAAATGCCGTTCTTCACCATGGTGGTCTTCAGTGGGTCTTGATCGGAGCAGGCCATCAGCTTCAGAAGCCTGCGTTGCAGTTCTCGTAGAAGTGCAAGGATCAGGAAGGTGCGGAGGGTGGTGGTCTTCTCCTTGAGATCCGTCCATTGCCGGTGAGCCGACTGCAGCAGTGGAATGCTGCCCTCTGGGCTTGGAACCAAGAAGAGAATGAATGTATCCTGCATTGCGCTCGTCTGCAGATCCTGGTCGTGCCGAAGCATCAGTTGACCCATGGCTCGAATGAGATCTCGTAGAGGGGGCTCCCGGTCCGCCATCTGCCGATCTCGCTTGCTTGACCCGAGTCTGGCCCTCTTGGATTGATCCTGATCTTTTCCCAGTGTGTCCACCTGGCCCCAGCCTTGGAGCGCCACCAATGATTGCTCCGTGAAAGCGTCCTCCATGGCTGCCGAGCCAAAATCGCTCATGGATGGGAAGAGCGATCAAAGAGGAGATCTGGATCAACGTAGGACAAGCGATGAGGTGAGCCCTGAGGTCGTCTCGAGCCATACCACAGAAACAGCATCCAGGTGAGATGGCCATGGGAACGGGCAGCAAGCGCAAGATCTGTTGTACAAACATCATCAGACCACGTTCTTGACAATGATGCTCAACAAGCAGATGGGTCTGTAGATCAGTGCCATGCCCCCGATAATCACACATGAAACATCGTGAACTCAGCAGCTGGATCAATGCGTCACACTGCCACAACTTCTGAAATTTGCGATCAATCAGCCAGGAGTGCACATCAGTAACCAGCTCAGGCGGCAGCACACCTGGGCGAAGCAACTGTTCCAGGATCTCTTGATCAAATACCCATGGCACCAGCAGGTCATCATGCAGCCGTAAATGTGTCATAGCAAGTTGTCGGAGCCCCACACATTCATGCTTAGAGGTCATAGAGGCCACCGCAGGGTTGCGAATGCATCCTGTCAACGGACTGATGACGTGCTTAAGGCTGAGACCAAGTTGAAGAGCATCATTCCACAGGATGGAGTGCCTCTCTTGCAGGTGTCGGGAAAGTTCACGCGCCCCAGGAAAGACACGACCACAGCACAGGCACTGCACAGTCAGAAAGGTTCGAGCACCTGCTTCTCGAAGATAGGGTCCAAGGCGTCCACTCAGCAGGGCGGCCTTGAGTTCAGGGCTGATTGGAACCTCTGGGACTGGTTTTCGTGGATCAAAATGCTTGCAATGCCCCTTTGTGATGTGGTAGCGGAGTGCATCCATTGATGTGACCAGAAGACCACAGTGAGAGCATGCCGGTTCTCCTTCTACAGAGTCTCGCTTGGGGTCATACCGGTGCATCTGCTGCTGATGTGCTTGCAGGTGTGCCGTCAGCAGAGCCCTGGAGGGGAAAGTCTGCGAGCATAGGTGGCATGGCCAAGTATGTGAAGGCGACTGTGCCAGCTCCTTCGAGGTCTGGGCATGGATCGGTGTGGTAGCCGAGGCCTCCATTGCCGTGCTCGTCTCAGCCTGCAGGATGGCGGCTTGCAGGAGTATGGGGCAGCCATGTTGCTGCTTCCAGGAGAGTGAGCAGAAGGGACATGGTGAGGTCCTGACATGTGTCCTCTGCAGCGCAACCATGTGATCAATCCCAGGGATCAGGATCTGTGGGTGAGCCTCACGAAGATGAACAACCAACTCCCGGCTACGAGTGCACCATCGACCGCACTGTATGCAGTGATGAGAAAGGTAGTCACACAGCTCACGATCCTGCTGAAGCTCGGCCCATTGATTCCCCCGAACGAAGGCAGCAACTCTGGAGCGAAGGGAGGAAAGGTTCATCACCTGAGCGCGAGGCAGGCAGTCAAAATAATCCCTAATGGTTGATTTGACCGGTGGGGAGTGATTGCAATTATCAAACTTGTCAAAGCTGACGAGTTCACTCCACATGCGCACAGGGATAGTTTGGGTGAACTCAGGTTGAGAATGGCGTGCATACTCGAACGGTCGACTATGACATCTCATCTGAGTGATGTGCAATCGGAAGGCTCCCCAGGTGGCAAAAATCTGCTGACAGAAGGCACACTGTGGAAGACCTGCAACGGCATGC